TATATATATACATACATACATACATACACACACACTAATCTATCTATATCTCTATATATCTATATTACATATTACACACAATATTTTTATTATTACAGTCAGTCTTCTGGGTTTTCATGTTAACATGCTGATGTTAACATGCTGAGGGAACATAAAAGGTTCACGCCACATTTACCGTATTTGCCGGAGTCTAAGGCGACTGGATGTATAAGATGACCCCCTACTTTTCCACTTAAAACATAGGTTTTGGGCTATACTCGTCATATAAGACTACCACACTTCCAAGGCAACACCATTTAAAAACATCATGGATGAATCTGCGGTAATACTGTATGTACGGTAGCTTCGGCTACATACAGAATAGCGCTGAGCCAATCACGGCGAGCGATGCATTCTATTAATGAATACAAAGTCTGCTTGGATTGGCTCACCCTAATTAGCTCAGCGTTGTATACTGCATGTAGCCGAAGCTACTGTACATACAGTATTACCGCACATCCAGCGGACTGACAGATTAGGGATGTTCGTTTTGGGCCACCTTGGCCCAAACAAACTAAAAAGTTATACGTTGTATACCCCCATGTATAAGACGACCCCCGATTTTCGGGGGATGTTTTTAAGTATAAAAAGTAGTCTTATACGCCAGCAAATACAGTATTATCCTCGAACAAGCAAGATACAATTACATAAATGAAATAAAGTACCTTTCTTCCAGTGTGTTCTGGGATTCTTTCAGTTTTGCCTTTAGGTGACGTATTGAGACTTCTTTCTGTTGCAGCGGAGTCAAATACTGCTCAGGAGAGGGCGGCTTGACCCCGTGATTATCTCCACAGGATGTGTATTTCATAGTGCGCCTGTAGACAAGCAAAAGCAAGGTCTTTGAATTGCTGGCCTCCACCCTGTATTATGACGACTTTCACAAAGTTTACTCTTTTAAAATGATTGGTAAAAGCAGCTTTCCTCTCCAAATACTGTTATCTACACACTAGAAAAATAAGTCCTTTAAGGAGATTACCTCAGAAACCTCTGAAAAGCTGTCTATTTATAAGGAAGGATAGCATCATGTAACATAAGTCTGTTGTATCTGTTTGCTGTGTTACTTACACAATATTGTTGGGTAACCCAGAGGTGCAATTAAATGCTGCAGGGCCCCCTTTATCTTTCACAGTAACCTCTAACCTTCCTTCAGCTGTCCGGTTTCAATCAAATAAAATATCTAGTTAGATTCCACATTTTGGAAATGCTTAATAAGCCTACTAGCTTCTTGAGTACCAAATAATGGAGCAATAAATGGATGTAAATGAGAAAAAAATGATCCCGTGCAGAATGTGAGGTGAACACATTTGATAAACATGAGAAGAAAACTGGTTTGAGCAACAACATCTCATAGTCTCCTCTGCAACCAGCCACTGTAGAGGCAAATCCTAACGGTCCAACTGTAAAGAGACCATACAACCTATCCTACCCAGTCACCCTCTGAGAAACTTCAATCTCAAAGGGTTATTAAACCCTCTGGTTTTTTTTGCATACATCTACTGCTAGCAAGCAGTAGATATATGCAAAAATCGTGTAAAAAAAAAAACCCGCTTTAAAAAGGGTTAATACTTTTCTGTGTCTTCCCCGCGCGCTCCTGTCCAAAAATGTGAACATTATCGGGCGGCTGCAAAGCATCTTGGGGCGGGCGCATGCGCAGTTCACATTTCCAGCCAGGACACAAGGAGAGACACAAGGTAAGTCTATGGATGCGTGCATCCGAATGCAGACACCGTGGGACAGAAAGTGCCAGCAAGCTCAGAGGAGTCAGCACAGGATCAGAGACTCGCCGCAGCTCTGGAGGGACAGATGAAAGGGCAGGAAAGATCGGATTAAGAAACATCATTTAAGGTAAGTGCTTTCATTAACATTGGGGGGAGGGGAAAATATTTTTTACTTTAATAGTAGACAGGGGTGTTGTCATGGCATCTTGTTTTGTTTTTTTAATAAGGAAGACATTACAGTTGCAGTACAATTCAAAAGTGTTGCACAAACTCTTGGCGCTATATAAATCCTAAATTAGGGACGAGGTAATAAGGAACTTGGCTTGTGGCATGCTGTGGCTGCCACAAGCCAAGGTAAAAGCCTAATTCAAGTCACATTTTTTAAAATCTCATTATAAACCGGAACCACATTATGATTTGTAAGCGATTTTTGCTTGTTAACGCATTACAATATTTTTTTGTCTCAGTGAAAAAGCCACTTATGTAATTACACATCAGTGCACTATGTTGACAGAGCTGAGTAGCAGCCACACCCCTTAGCACATGCATCCTCAAACAGACTTCTAATGCAGAAGAGGGGGGATGTTTCAGGCCAGAACGAGGGCAGATAGCAGAAAGTACTTGGTCTAATTTTGGTGTTTATTCAACTGCATAATTATATTTAGAAACCCCACACAACTGCTATAACTGTAAAGGGGTGGTAAGACTAGGAAATATAAAGTACAAGGTAATTAGGTCTGCTCATCTATTTCTGTGATTTCAGTCGGGCTTTAACTGCAGTCACCACCCAGCCCACAGTATATTTGCCTTTGTGGTGCAACAGTTATTTCTCTTTTCTGCGATCATGATAGCCTCTTTAACATACTGGTGTCCCACCAAGAACAAACACTCTCTCAGAGAGCATACTACAGTGACTAGCTCATACGGAGCTGAGCTAGCAATAAGAGGAGACTTGATTCAATCAACATGGTTGTTGTGCTTCTGTTCTGCCAAACTGGATGTCCTGAAACATGGAAAGTAGAGCCAGAACTCCCTTTGAAGAACCCTCAAAATTAAAAAAAGAAGCTTGCAGTGCTCAGCCAGTGTCCAAATCCCCTCCCTTAGAATGCATGAATGGATAAAGTAATGGGATGCATGTTCTTATAGAGCTATAAAGACGTGCCGTAAAGGTACAGAACGGAGTACAACACCTGAGTGTAGGGCTGGTGTCGCTGCCCTTGTAGGACCCAGAGTTACTGCTACTAGGAGAGGAGATCCCATATGCATCATGAACATTAATTGGACTCAACTGATTCCTACACAGCACTGAAAACAGATCCTTCTCTCGATTGGCTGGCGGACTCTCTACAGGCTTTCCAGATGAACTGTTGTGGCCTCGCCCATGGGACACTCGACTAAAGGGAAAAAAATGAAAATTTTAAAAACAAATATGGGGCTTCTGATTCCAGCTTACACTAAAACATTTTAAAACTGACTTTTGAGACATCTAGAACGTAAAACATCTTCCGTTAAATAATATACACTTTATTCAAGCAATGCAAGACTGATGACACAAACTGATAATGTAAAAAAGAAACAAAAAAAAACCCTTAAGATATCGGAGGCAGGAGTTGTTTTAATTGTTAAAAAGTTAGCCCTTCCCCATTCTGCACTTCGTCATTATTAGGTAAAGCCACCTAATATGGTGATAGGCAAATAGTTGATGTAAAACTCCAACCAAAATCAAGATAAAAATGAATAGCCCATTAAAAGATAAAACAAATATAAAAAAAATATAAAAAAAATATTTACCACCAATAAGGAACATTCCTCAGCCGTACTATTCTGCCCTTAGTAGTCCTCAGTCATCATTCAACCCACTTCCTCTGGGACCAGGACTCCCCGACTCCCTGAACCCCCGCCTGCCTGTGACTGGACAGTGAAAAGGACAGGCAGCACAGTGGTAAGCTCACCTCTCTCGGTCACTCTGCTTTCTCTTTCTATCAGCAGCTCCTTGTCAACACAAACTGAACAGCTCCTTGTACTGCTTCTTCCGCTCTCACTCCAACCCCGCTGCATAGGGATAGTAAGAGGCTGGTACCAGATCAAATTTAAAGTACTTACACTGCTTGAATTAAAAAAATACATTTAATAAGGTATTATTAACTACAGAGCTGGATTATATCTGCCTAGAGCTCAGCTTCAAGCAAGAAAGGTGTGCTAGCCCTACAACCAAGCGAACTGGTAGCAATAAAGCTATTAAAATGCCCGCTGTACAGGGGATCTGGAGCACTTAATAGACAAGCTGTAAGGCCTGGTTCAACCTATTACAGGCCGTATGAATGCGCTACAAAACTCCCTGCGCCCAAAGAAGTACAGGAGCTTCTTTGGGATGTTTTTGTTGCGCGTTTCCATTGGGATACAGCCAAGTAGCCCTCGGAAACGCACGTTTGTCGCGCGGTATTTTACAGCGAAACGCGGTAAAACCGCACGTCACTAAACGCGCATATTCGATACGCCTAGGTGTGAACTCAGCCTAATACATGCAGACACCTGGAGAGGACTTCATTCGTGGAGACGGTCCTTTTTATTCTGACATCAGGTATACTTTAAAAGGTCAAGTTCACTAAATAATGGAATCACTTGACTTGCAGAAAGTATAGAGGGAAAACCTTGCCTCTCCATCCCACAAAGCCATAGTGAAACGGTCACTCACTCATAACTAGATACTTCTGTAGATACTGTTTTTACATCATGGATCATCCTTCCATTATTTGCCTAAGTGTGGGCCAAACCTGGGAAAGTTGGTGGAGATAACAAATGAGTATGTATGCATGCATGCATATTATATTCTGATGTTGACCTTTCAAATCCATGCTATTCGTAGTTTCAAAGCAGTACAAGAGAGCTTGGGTAGAAAACAATTGGCTCAATGGAAGCCTACACAATAATTGGCCCCTCAAAAACGCAGAGCTCTTTTTAGAGGAACATAAATATAGTCTTTTTATAGTGTTTTAAATAGTTTATAAAGTAAGGATGACACTGCAGATCAAAGATAAAAATTACCCTGAGAGATATACTCTACATTTGCAGTTTACCTGACAATATCCCAGAAATATAGGCATATTAAGGAGGACAAGCAAGCCCAAGGCTGTAAAGATTAGTTAATATTTAGCTATATGTGTACATAAGTTTAGTGGTTTATCAGAGTCTTCAGTTCTGATAAAGGGAAGAATGAGAGAAAATAATCTACATACAGCCAACTTTCTGTTTAGTAATTCCATTGACGGCAGTCTTTTTTTCAAAGCACATTTTAACCTTGTTAATTAGCCACAGAAAATAAGGTAGAGGTGCCTGCATGAAGCATTACACATTTTCCTAAAGGTGCCCATATACTGCTTGATTCTCGTACGAGAATCGCGGGAAGTCCCGCAATCGTACGAGAATCGAATAGTGTGAACGAAGACGTGTGCACGTCTTTTGTCTAAGGAGCATGTTAGAAAACCAGCCGAGAATCGTACGATTTTCGGCTGGTTTGAACGGTGCTCGGGAGACAAATGCCGAACGCACACTGCCCGTTCAGCATTGCGGTCATCGGAAGCCCGCCCCTCAGGGGGGCGGGCTTGTGATAACCGAGAGTACGATCTGCCTGTCCAAGATGGGCAGATCATATGTTTTTTTAATCACTTTACAACCATCGCAAGACTATGGTCTTGCGATGGTTGTACAGTGTATGGCCACCTTAAGAGCCATAGAATAAAAGTAGATATATTGTGTAGATCTTGACCAGCTACTTTACGGTGAATGTGGATCAATACTTCCCTCCAGTGCTTCGGTTCTGGAGTAGTAATGAGGCACAGATACAGGTGTGTATAATGATCTCTATGGAGGAGGAAGCAGCCAGACACTTCTGGCACTGGCCTGATGGAGGTCAACTGCAAAAATCCAAAACCCAGCCAATCACTAGATCCCCTAGGAGAGAACAGCCAGGGTTGCCCATTCCTGCCTACAACCATGGGACCACACAACAAAAAAGACTGACAAATTGGAAGACAGCCATCTCCTTTTTATGACTAAAGCTGAACTCAGGCAGATATGTAAACAGCATTCATTGCATAGATGTATTCAACAAAAAATACTGTAAATCAAATGTAGTGTTACACACTGAACCAGTATATGTATCAGAACCTGTGCTTATATCAGTCTTCTGTAAACCTAAGCAGTACTCACAGTGGGAGAGAAAGACACCACTTGACCTGGGAGGGCTTTTCATGCTTTGTGCAGTACATTTCAGTCTATGTCTGTAAATGTGCCAACAGGTGCAGAAGGCACAGGGGTAACCTAATCAGTGTACTGCTGCTTAGTATCCAATCACAGGCCAGGGCAGGTCCCAAACCAAACTCATTGCTCAACTGTGTAGTGTCCATGGAGGTCTGGGACCTGACTGTGCCGACTGGTAGAGGTGCCTAAACCACAAGGCTAATTGATCAGAAATAATTTGGCACGTTACATAGAATATTACAAATAGAATAGAATATTTTTTTAAATGTGTGCATTTAGCCGTTTGCCTGAAGTTCAGCTCTTAGCCCATACCATAGAATAATGAACATTTCCAGAGGCAGAACAAGAGAGTTCAAGCCAATAGGAAATAACAGGCCCGGTGCTACCGCAAGGCAAGTCAAGTGGCCGCCTGAGGGCGCTGAAGGGGTGAGGGCGGAAAAAACAGGGCATTTTGACAAGTACTTGTACTTGTCAAAATGCCCCGATGCTTGCGCTGTTTTTTTTCTTCACTTACCTTCGGTGCGGGTGAGCAGCGGCGAGTCAGCGTTGGTCCGGTGGGAGGAGCTCCAGGTGGACTCCTAATTTAGCTGGCCGGTAACTGCCAGAGGATCCCGACACGCGCAGCACCTCTGGCAGTCGCCGGCCAGCTAAGTTAGGACCCCACCTGGAGCTCCTCCCACCGGACCAGCGCTGACTCGCCGCTGCTCTCCAACACAGCGCTGACTAGAACCTCACCAGGCACCTTCATCGAGCAGTAAGTGAGGGCAGGGGGGGTCCCTATTAAGAACTAAATGATAATTAGCAGGTGATAATTGTGCATCTATTGTCTGCAGTGTGTACTCTATATGTACTATAGAGTACTATGTACTACATATAGAGTACACACTGCAGACAATAGATGTACAATTATCCTCTGCTAATATGAATGGATTAAAATTATCCATAGTACATAATATGTACATAACATGTAGTTGTACTACGGATCATTTAACCCATTCATGTTAGCCGAGGATAATTGTAAATCTATTGTTGCAGTGTACTCTATATGTAGTAGGTAGTACATGTACGTTACACACGTCCAATACACTGCAGCAATAGCTTTACAATTCTCCCCTGCTAACATGAATAGGTTAAAAGATCCATAGTACATAATATGTAGTTGTACTACGGATCACTTAACCTATTCATGTTAGCAGGGGATAATTGTAACTATTACTGCAGTGTACTGGACGTGTGTGCTGTATATGTACTACGGATCATGATTTAACCTATCCATGTTAGCAGGGCAGAATTGTGAGCGCCTCCCACAAGCTGAGCACCGAGACACGATGCAGCAATCCTGCCCAGCGACGACTACAAGAGGCACCGCGTGAGGCAACAGGGATCGGAGTAAAACTGAGTGAGGGAAGCTGGGACGGGGCTGGCTGTAAATCTATTGCTATAGTGTACTGGACGTGTGTAATGTATATGTAGTACATATATACAGCACAGACCTCCACTACAGCAATAGATTTCCAATTCTCCCCTGCTAACATGAATAGGTTAAATCATGATCCATAGTACATAACATGTAGTTGTACTATGGATCATTTAACCAGTTAGTGTTAGTGAATAGGGAATGCAGCTAGTGTTAGTGGAAAGGGAGTGCGGTTAGTGTTAGTTTATGGTCCTGCTCAACATATTTTGTGGTTCTCCGTACTGTTACGGCGTGGAGGGGGGGGGCGGAGTTCAGGCGAGTATAACTTTTTTTTTTGCACTAAATTCTATGATTTCCATGCACTGCCTCAGTGACAGTGTACACTGACAGCGCATATTTGGCTGTGAAATAATTTTCCAGGCACCTTTAGAAGCAACACATGTTTTTCATCAAACTGCAATATGCACTCTTCAACCAGCTATAGATAGGAATAGGCCAGTAGTTTGTGTGATGCAAAAGTGTTCTGCCACTGACCAATTTTTTTTTTCCTTTATCAAACTCACAAAAAATTAAGAGACTGCAGATGATACGAGTGTGTAAATCTGCCTAGCAGCAGGACATTTTTAATGTAGGAGAACTGGCAGGAGTTTTTCTACAAAAAGCAGTATAAAATGCACTAGCAGCAAGACAATTTTTAAATAACAAGGCTAGGGCCAAATTTACTAGAGAGACAGAGGACACAGGTTGGAGCTTCACTCTTATCACACTCTCATTAAGAATTAAGATACTGCAGAGGATACATTAGTGTAAAATTGTCCAGCAGTAGAACAATTTTAAATCGGGGATAATAGGCCAAAAAGGGTGTCTGCCTAACTTTTATTAATGGAGATAGGGGAGTGCGGTGAATGTGAGGGATATGATGTGATGCAGTGAGCTGGTTTAGGTGCACACTGCTCTTGCACTTCCTTTCAAATTATGCAGCAGCACCCTGCAAACAAAATGCAGCTTAAAGAACAGATGTCAGTAACCAAGTAAGTGAATGCTCCACTTTTATAAAACCACCCAAACTTTATAAATTTTTAATTTCTTCTTTTTTTTGGTTTGTTGATGGGGCATCAACAAACCAAAAAAAAGAAGAAATTAAAATCCCACAATACAAAAAAAACCTTCCTGAGCACATGTGCTCAGGAAGGTACCAAGTGCACAGGGGGCCGCGACCTTATAAACTACACTACACTGCAAATTATACAGTAAACTGAAATAAAACAATCTAGCTTGGTGCCCAGACCTCCTCGGCCACCTATTCGCCCTCCCACAAGTACCCGCCATACTCCCCTGATGGCGGTCCTGGCCGGGTACTTGGATCGCGACCCCCCTGTTCACTTGCAGGACCCCATATGGGGTTGCGACCCACACGCTGGTTTAAAGCACTAGAAAATCAGAAATAAAGTGCAGTTTCCTAGCTGGCCATAATCCTTCCCTGTGTAGTGTCAGCTTTCCCTATGTTGTTGCTACAACAGCTTTCAATTGACTGACACTATGGCTACATTGTGCCCCCCCATTTATAGTAAGGGGGGTGGCCTATGCAAAGTAGCTTCCTTAATGGCAATTCTAAACCTGCTTGCCATAGTTTAGTTTAAAGGCCACACAGTACATTATGGTTATCAAAATTCTCCTGGGCAAATCTGCACACAAATTTGCTGGGTGTGTGAATCTCGAGCCTGCCCATGGTAGTGGTAAACCCAAATCTCATCCCTAGTCCCTAGTCTATAGATTAGGACTATTACTCAAAGCTGAGTGCCATCACCCAAAATGTTGAGGCACACATTGGAGGGGGAACAGTAGCAGAAACAGCATAGGGAGGAGGAGATCAAAAGGAAGATCTCAGCAGAGAGAGACCAACTCCTAGCAGTATTTTACACCGACACTCAAAACGCATATTGGGCGGTCAAAATAAAAAACTAAAATAAAGAGAGCACATATGTGTGGAGATGTACCAGAACAGCACAAGATCTACACACAATGATGTACACAAATACAGTAGGAGGTACACATGCAGTCACCTCTCGGCTGTGCTCCTCGAGCCCCGTTTCTGAGTTTCTGTGCGGTAGGGCGGTCTTCCAAAACAGGAGAGAGGAAAAGGCCATTTCAGAGAACATTTGATACAAGCAAAACAGTATAACCAGAAGAAAAGCACAATGCTGGTCTGCAACTTTGGAAATCTCTTAACAGCAGTATCCAACCAGGAGCCATATGCGGCATTATGCCTCCTTTGGTACTGCACCATGAAGTCTTATGGGAGGTGCTTAGCATCCATTGAGTACTGCCCAGAAGCCATAGGCCAACTGCAGGATACCCAATTTATATCCCTCGTTTCTAAACTGATAATATAGGATGCTGCGTTGCTCCAATGTTTCCTCTGATATTCAAAGTCTGCAGTTGAGCATATTTATATTTTATGAACGGCTGTGATTATAAACCTTTCAAAATCAACGGTTCCCAGATTCAGAGCACTGACCTGCCTCCAAGTATAGTGCAGCCCACACACATTTTACAACATCAGGGGTAAGAGACAAACACCAGAGGCTTGCCAAAGTTTTGAGAAAAGATTACTGAAGCTGGCTGGAAATTATTATGCAAGCGTCTGATAAGGAGGATAAACTAAGTGTACTTTCTGGGCTATTCATACAGATGCAGGGTTTGCTGCATAGTATCAGCAGTTTATTGACCGATTTCAAAATCACATTTTCAATGGAGGACAAACAGCCAATAATGAAAAGCAATACAAGTATTCATTGTGCTCGTGTATTGTGCCTAAGGTTTTCATACAGTCAAATTTGAGAACTTTGACCTTATTGCAGGGCTGCCAATTTTTTTTAGGTCATTTTTAAACTTGATGGAAACCTGTTAACCATTTGGAAGTTCAAGCCCAGCTGTGGAAGATCTCTGCTGTTAACAGTGTAAAAAAAAAAAAAGAAGAAAAGTAGAATATATAGTGGGCTTCCATAATTTTCTTAGAGTAAAACTACTACTTAGTCCGGGCTCACCTGTGTGTGGTTATTCAGGCATTATGTTATGAAGTTGAATGTGCGTTGCATTATGGTAGCCCATTTATTTTGAGTCACCTGCCAACGCTGATCACTGCATTTGACCTTTTTTGGTACTGCAAGGTAGCTGTATGTTGCAACACGGCCCACTTCATTAGGGTGCCATTCAAAATGCATGTAGCATGTTACTGCGGCACAAAATTCCAACCGTTAAATTAGAACTGAAACCAAAACTTTTCTTTTTAGTATAATTTAGTATAGAGTAAGCAAGGGTTTTAACACCTGTCAGCTTTGTTTTTGGATGGTGGCCATCAATAGAACTAGGCTTAGGAACCGGAAGAACTGCCCAGTGAGGGCATTCACCTCCACTAATATGGCGGCCTCTTTAGAGTGCTTTGGAAAGGATGATAAAGTGGGTAAAAGAGCAGTTACAGAATGTTCACTGTGCCCAAGTGTTTTATCATTTACATCTGACTTTTCTCACATGATTTTTAGGATAAGGTTGCCTAAAGCTAGGTTTACTTTAGGATCTAGTCCGATTGGCTGCTGCTGTTAGAATACAGGTTTCACACATCTTTTTGCCTTATTATAAAAGGGAAGGCATTTGTAGGTTAGTACATTTTGTTGTCTGCACCAGATTTTCAAAATCACATTTTATAGACAAGATTGTTACCCATTGGCTGGGTCTGTCACTGCATTTAATTTTTTTTTTTTTAACCATTTTAGCTAAAGTACCAATGCCAGTAAATTGGCTAAGAAGTTTACACTTTAAAGTGAATTTCCACGACACAGCTTTGAGCCTTGCTGCAGTAAATGATTATTACACTGCACTATTAAACTGGGAGCAAAGCATGTATATGTTATGGAAAAATGTGGCTTCTGAGGCAAAAAGCAACGTGAAGGGTTCAGTAAACTATAGCAGCCAATCAGAATTAATTTCCATTGTTCTGACCTAAATTGAAGATTACATTTTTGTTGTTGTTGTGCTATTAAAAATCACTTTGCAATGTCTAGTTCTGTAAACTCGCAGATACAGGAGTGAATTCTTACTTGCGTGAAAATGAGTTTTTCTTTCCTCCGGACGCAGTGCTCATGTGGACTTCTGGTGCAGATATACTGCCAGTACTGCTCGATGAGCTGAAATCCGCTTCACTTCCTACATCCAAAAAATACAGAGATAAACATTTTAACTGCCAAGAACCTGTGCAAAAAGCAAATGATTAAATTAGCTCAAAAATCAACATGGTATGAGAGTGTCACATCCAGTGTACAGAACAAGAAGCCATTGCTAAAATGAAGGATGGACAAATTAGATATTAGCTGAAGTTTAGATTACAGTTGTACCTTAAATGGTATATTTAAACATGGATTCAAGTCTCAAAATAGACACATAACGTATGTGTGTGTATTCTGCTATCTCACAGTCATTTCCAATGTGCTCACCATACAAAAGGCCCACATTTGGTTGAGAAAGATGGGAGGTCGGGACCCATCCATGCCATTGAATCAACACACCACTCAATGTTTGGAGAAACTCCCACCAAATAGGAATTGTACAGCTTGTAAAATAACTTCAGTACATAATCTGTAACCCAAAAATTTGCTCGAGAGGCACTATGCCTTTATCCAACCGGGCCAGAGTGTGCATGTCCGCAGATAGCAGAAACCCCCCCCCCGACAGTGGTGGACATAGCCACTTATGGCCAATGTGCAATTGCCAGCCAAGTAAAAACATGTATTCACTGTGTATTAGTTTAGACCTAGATAGATGCAAACCATGTCCTGAGCTACATGACAGTTGGGAGGAAGTCCGTGTTTTGATGTAAAACACATCTAGTATAAATTGGCCTGTAATTTACAGATGGCCCTTGTGTAGCTGCACAGTTTACACAAAAGATATGTTCAAGCCTATCCCAGGTTTTTGCGTTTACCTAGCCACCCTCATTTGCAACCTTTCCAAACTAGTCATCCAGACAGGGAGGTGACATCACAGCCCCCACACCACGTGGCAGCATTTAGGCCCAGTAATAAGCAGCTCAGGCCTGAGCACCATCACATGGAGGAGGTCACATGCACCCTCAAACCCTGAAGCTCCGCTTCATTAGGAAGAGCCGCCATGGTGCAAAGAGGTGGTGTGGGAGCATGGTTTGATAAGCAAAACTGCCTGGTGGGGTAGGCCATCTACAGAAAATGTAACATTGCCCTGAATGTTTGGAAAAAGTGCAGTTGAAACAGCTGATGAAGCAGATTATAAAAAGGTACCACTGTGTTAATATGTTTGGGGAAAGGTTAATTTTGCATTTCTTATGTTACCACTACCACAGAGGTCTATGGAGACCGGTTAGTATTTACTAATTTTCCTTGTATTTGGTTATTCCCAAGGTTCACCTCATCCTTCATTTTCTACATAAAGGGGTCTTACTGTGCTACAGTATAATGCTATTTTAGCATTTTTTTTCATCCTATATCTCTGAATTGTGCAACACTTCAAACTTCTCACAAATGTAATGTTTTGTACACAAAAAGTCTGTGCTGCAGGACACCACTCTGTCCCCATTGGAATTCCTAGACAAAAAGTTATCATTCCAGGGTATCCAAATGATCGAACACATTATGCATGCACATTCCCAACTGCACGCACCCCCAATTATCCACATCAGTGTTAATGTTTTAGAAGATTTTTTTTCTTTGAACATTCCAGGCCATGTACATGTTTGTTAAACATCCATGCAACTTGTATTTATGTACTTCCCTATCGCTCCCTGTACTTGCACTTACTACACAATCTGCATCAATGCCTAAAGTTACTGGAGCAATCCTTTGTACAAACCATTTCACCATCATTTCTTATTATATGTCCTTTAGTACCAATGGTTCCTCAAGTTTGTAACTCCAGTGCATAAGAAAAAAGGGACATGTTATGGCAAAGTGGACTTAAAGAATCCTATTAGCCCATAACATGTCTGGTTGTGTCACTATGTCGATCCATGAGCCCTACACCATGGAAGCCATAGTTTCCATACACTGCACCAGTGATGGCCAACTAAGCTTTAAGCAGCTGAATGCAGTGTGGAAAATATGGCCATCAGGCTGTATCTGTACTACAAACCAGTAGTTCTGTTGCCACAGGGGCATAAAAGGAGTGATCTGCATAGTTAAGTCCACTGTCCTAAAATGAGAAACTAATTTGTTTAGATTTGTGATGGAAAGGAGAACTGCAAATACCTTCTGTTTAAAGAAGGCTCTACTGAGTTTACATTATAGTAGCACTGATAACACTGAAAGCTCATACAACTGGTAATGTCCTTAGACAGACAATAAAAGCCAACCACTGAATTCTCCATTTTATATAACCATACCAGTATATCCAAATGCTGCTTGTGCCTGCCAAGGCAAACTTGCAATTCCAACCCCCCTATAATTCTATGATCTTCCAATAGCAAGGGGGACCATTGTAAGATTCTAATTGTGATGGGTTTTTATAATTACCCATATGATCTCTGGTCTTCCATTTGCTTACTGTTTTTCATATATAGTCAGATTATATTCAATTTGCATTTTACAACACTTGTTAGGTAATAAAAACTACTTTGGGTGAACAGTAAGCTTGTACTTTGTGAAACTTATCTAAGGCTCAACATGTTTGTGTTTCGAGAACACACTTCCTGAGAACAGGGTCAACTGTGCACTGTTTGTGATACTTTATTTGTATTAGCAGTTCCTTATTCAGGAGACGCTTTTGGGGCAAGTACTGCTCGGAGCAGGAAAAGGGGAATACCATAAATGTTTATCCTGGAAATTAGAGAAAAAAAAATGGATAGTATTCAATTGTTTTGTTGCATGTGCACCAATAGGACTACAATCACCCTGAGAACAGGGAGAGAGAAATTTTTAAAGCTAGCCGTACACCTATAGATCTGCAGATTTTGTGTGGTCAGATGGAAAAAGTGCAACAAATCTCCCACTGGGCCAAGCTTCAGTATCTTGCTATCTCGGCCCCGCTGGCTTTCAAAACACCTGAACAATCTGATTGGATGCAGGCACTATTCAGGTATTTTGAGAGCCAGCTGGGCCGACTAGCCAGATACTGAAGCTTGGCCCAGTGGGAGATTGCTCCATCCGCACAGTTTACCGTAGCTGGAGGAATCTGTTGCACTTTTTCCATCTGACCATAGAAGTCCTTAATGATGTGAAACTTCATGTTAAGTGTTGAACTTCTAGCCAAATATTTAGTGGTAGAAACTTCTAGGAACTCCTTTGTTTTACATGTGCAAGTGTGTGCACAAATTCTGATATGTTAGAGCAGGCCACATTGTTCTCCCTCCACATTGCATCTCTTGTTATTTTGCTTTGCTGAAAATCTGGAAGAAATCAAAGCCTGCTATACTGCATTGACATTGTATTAGCATAACACCCACACCTGGAACACAGCCTCCTCATCCTGTTTATAGGAAAGGAAAACACGTCAGTGTGATCACCGACAAGGCATTAGAGTAGGTGCGCTGTCATAAAACCCTAACTCAATGAAAACGTCTGGTAGTATCAGAAAGCAATCACCTGGATGGTGTAACTTTAGAACACAGGTCAGTTTGGAGTCCAACCACATAGAAATGACTGCGTTAGGCACAACCAGATGTGCCATGAATGAAAGCAGCACAATAAGGATCTTATGCATCACTGGACTTGATGAAAGGAACAGGAGTCAGTCATCTAGCAAATGGAGTATTAAATTTCCATAGCAAATGTTAGATATTGAAAAATATAGGACATTTGCTGGCACATGACTGGGTGTTTAAGGTGAACATGGCTTTACTTTATTCATTCACATTCAGTATGGTAGGTGAACAGCCTCTACTCCTTTATTTAATAAATCCTACTGTGTTATTTACTAAGAAATAGAGGTTATTCCCCAAAGAGAAAGTGATTTTATTTCCACCTGCGTTCCAGTTTTCAATTTCCCCATCACTTCTTGCCCTGGTGATAGCATTGTCACCAGGATAGGAAAGCTCAAAAACATAAATAAAATGAATACATAAAAATTAAATATAACCACCAATGAAAGCATTACAAACCTAGAAAAAAAAACCCACAACAACCTACACATTTCTAACTTTTCCCAACTCTACCCTAGAAAGACTCTAGCTCAGATACACACTTTAACCCATTTGCTGACATTGGGCATGAGGTGGAGTTCCTCAAAGTTCACAGGGCTTACCCCATATACCCTGCTCTTCTCGCCAGCAAATCCCACCTGTCAAAATGGTAGTTGGTACTTGTCCTGTATTACTGCTGCTATATAAAATTGAAGCTTCAGACACTTAATTGAGAAATGCAATGTAGAAACATTTACTCCTGCATTGTTTACTCTTGCATTCATTATACAGATGAAAGGCATGACCTCTGATCTGCATATGTTGAAGCCACGTCATTTGTTAAAGCCCTAATTAGCTCCCCCTTTAAAAAAAAAAAGTGGCTTGACCTGGAAAAATCAAAAATAGATCAAGTGTTTAACAGAAGTAATATTGTTTTGCATCAACAAGACACTAAAAGGACTAAAATTAAAGGATCAGCCTGTTGCTTGGGTAACTAGCTTTTTTTTTGGCCATCACAAGCTTTTCTATGACTAATGGCAGGTTGCCTTTAACAGAACGCTTGCATTCAATCTCCCAGTTATTGCATTTTTTTTTCCCTACAGGTTTTGTGATATGAAAGTGTACCAGAGGCGGCATCCGCCTGTTTGCAGAGCTGTGCCGCATATCAATTCTTTCCCTGTCGGCAGAGTGCAGATCCTAGGCTGGTGTTGTCATGGAGACAGACGTTAATGCATCCTTTTCGCTCGTAGGTCAAGTAAGCAAATGAAGTCAGCTCCATGACAACAGAGAGCAAAAAGAAAAGCCCGAACCTATCAGAGGACAGGCAGTGTGCCGCAGCTGCTCGGCTGAAAGGCAACAATTTATATTATGGGCCGTCTGGTGAGCAGAGGTTAAAAGATAATGGCTGCAGTAATGAAAAGAAGCCATTTCATAAAGAAACAATGAAGCAACCCGACTTGACTCATCCTTACAAGCAGCATCCTCGGAAAATAACACAATTACATCTGAATCTAATGAAAACTCCCCGGCCCAGCTCCACCATTAGAAGAAAAAAAAAAAAAAAAAAAAGTGAGCTGCCATTGCTAATCTCTTTATGAGAATGCCAACTGCCTGGCCATCATATTAATCTTCTAGTTTCACAATTTTGAGCCACTGATCTGGAGTTGGTATACATGCGACTCACTATGAACTGATGGCAAAAGCATGAGTAGGAAACCGCCAATCAGTATTTTGTCAAATTTGCAATTTTAAAAAGACATTGAGGATATTATTTGATCCCCTGCAGATTTTGTAAGTTTGCCCACCTACAAAGAAATGAAAGGCATATCATTTCTATCATTCAGTATTTTAAATGATAGAGACAGAATATCAACCAAAAATCCAGAAAAAAAAAACCACATTATACAAATGTTATAAAAATGAGTTGGAGTTCAGTGAGTAAAATAAGTATTTGATCCCCTACCAACCAACAATTCTGGCTCCCACAGATTAGTCCTGTCAATTTAAGAAGGAACTCCTAATGACAACTCGTTATGTATATATAGACAGAATCTTTCTTCCATTCAAACCTCACCACCATGGGGGAAGACCAAAGAGCTGTCAAAGGACGTTAGGGACAAGATTGTAGACCTGCACAAGGCTGGAATGAGTAAGAAGTTTGGCGAGAAGGAAACCACTGCTGGAGCAAATATTCACAAATGGAAAGAATACAAAATAACCATCAATTGCCCTCGGTCTGGAGCTTCATGCAAGATTTCGCCTCATGGGGTAAGAATGAACATGAGAAAAGTGAGGGATCAGCCCAAAACTACATGGGAGGAGCTTGGGAATGATCTCAAGGCAGCTGGGACCAGTCAAACAAACCATTGGTTACACAATACACCGCCATTGAATGAGATCCTGCAGCACCCGCAAGGTCCCCCTCCTCAAGAAGGCCCATGTACAGGCCCGTCTGAAGTTTGCCAATGAACATCTAAATGATTCGGAGAAGGATTGAGAAAAAATGCTGTGGTGAGATGAGACCAAAATTGAGCTCTTTGGCATTAACTCGACTAGTCATGTTTGGAGGAAGAAAAATGCTGACTATGACCCTAAGAACACCATCCCTACAGTCAAGCAAGGTGGAAACATTATGCTTTGGGGCTTTTTCTCTGCTAAAGGTACAGGCTGACTTTGCCGCATTGAGGGGCCAATGGAAGGGGCCATGTATTGTAAAATCTTGGATGAGAACCTCCTTCTCTCAGCCAGAACACTGAAGATGGGTCGTGGATGGGTCTTTCAGCATGACAATGACCCAAGGAGTGGCCTAGCCAGTCTCCAGACCTTAATCCTATAGAAAATCTATGGAGGGAGCTGAGACTTCGAGTTGCCAAGCGACAGCCAAGAAACCTTAAGCATTTAGAGAAGATCTGTAAAGAAGAGTGGACCAAAATCCCTCCTGAGATGTGTGCAAACCTGGAAACCCATTTTATTTAAATTTCTATGTGAGCTGATAATTTTAAATAAACTTTGTTATTTCATACTGCACTATGAAGGCTGTTGTTTCTCTCTTCTGAAATCCTATTTGAACCATCATCAGGACCGGAAGTATAAGCATCAGTTGTTCGTGGGTAAGAGGAGCCGGGGTCCTGCCGAGGACGTATCCGCTCCACTGCCGAGGGAATCCTGCACGCATCGGTAGAAGAGCCGGGGGACCAGACCCACACCTCTGAGAGGGGCTTTATTTTCATACACCATCTGGTGAGTAACCATCGCTTGGGGGGCTGCAGATTTGGCAACGAAGAGCTGTTGATTTTTTCGTGTTTGGCGCCTTCTTGTTATTTAAACATTATTTGTTTTTTCTTACTGATTCTTACTGATACTGATTTGTCTTTTCATATCACGGATTGAGATTTTTTAAAGGAGTTACATTTTTAAATTTCTTTTTTTTACATTAGTCTTTCACTGGAACACTTGTTACACTGGTTTCTCAATTTAGTAGTTTGTGCTATTATCTCACTACCTGGATTGCTAGAGTGTACGGTTGTTTCTAAGTTTCTTGTCATTCACTGATATCTTGTCACATTGTATTAAGTCATGTTTTCCTTTGGGATCAAATACTTATTTTACTCACTAAACTGCAACTCAATTTATAACATTTGTATCATGTGTTTTTTCTGGATTTTTGGTTGATATTCTGTCTCCATCATTTAAAATACACCTATGATAAAAATTATAGACCTTTCATTTTTTTGTAAGTGGGCAAACTTACAAGATCTGCAGGGGATCAAATACTTATTTGCAACACTGTATATGAAAAGGCAGATGTATTTGCTAATTGCATAAATGGGCTCTGCTTCCTTCTACAGCTGCCCATACTAGAACACACTGGACCATGCAAGACACAGTAGGACAGAAATGGCTTGTCCAGGTGGAAGTCAAGAGCCCATTATTTTAGTGTAACTTTAGAGATTATAAGAGAGCCATACACAGACCAATGCAATCCTCAGATGATAGCATCGTCCGTGTCATACAAATTCAACAACACGTTGCACTGCCGCTCCTTCACGGCCATGCAGCAGGAAGAAGAAAAAAAAAAACGCCTCACACCTCCACAGTAAAAAGAAACCATCCGCACACCACTCGTCACACTAAAAAACTCCTCTATTCAGGGTTGCACAGCTTGGCTCAGTCCCGCCCTCGGTCCACCCCACTAACGCGTTTCACCCCATGCAGGGATCCATGCGGGCCGTTTAAAAATTGGAGTGGATAGCCTTCAGCTTTAAATGGCGGGGTGGCTCAAGAATTGGAAGACGCTCAAATGGCAATAAGACAAGATCTGTAAAAGCTGGCCAGTTTATGCCTGGGGTGTAAAAATCTGTATGGCGCATATAAAATATATGGGAACTCACCTCGCATCTTGAATGATTGTGGGCCTAGAAGAAATCGAGACACAAGTACAAAGAACAGAACAGGAGGTTAGTAGAACATAAGGGGTGATATGGAGTGATAATACAAGGATTATGCCCATGAGCATACACGGACCCACATCACACAGATGGAAGTGTAGACAGCATGGCACACATGCCCAGATGTATCCACAAAGCACCCCCCACCTTTTCTAAGGTAATGATAAAATGAAGAACCCTTTTGGTCACTTGTGTATTATTCTACAAACAATTAAATGCATTTTTTTTTAAATAGTATTATAAACTACAAAAATGTATTTTTCTATTCAAGCTTTATTAACTTCTCAGATATTATGCTGAGAGTGGGATTGCCAACATTGTAAACCAATTACAGGGGATTATATGTAAAGAGCAGTACCTGTATTACAAGGATTACAAAGTATTACAATTCAGGTCAACTTTTTTTTTTAACATTTTGGATATGATAGGGAATATTTTGTATTGCTGGGTGTGGGGAATATACAGCAATAGCCAACGGAGATTCTAATAATTTGCAATGTAAAGCTTGGTTCCTGCAATAGAAGACACAGAATTCTTTGGTGGTCAAAAGGAGGAAGGGTAGGGGAGTCCCTAATCTGCTGTGTTTAAGCAGCACAGGCTTTGGCAAATTCTACAGCATCCAAACTGTTGGGAGTGTTGGATACATGTGTCCCCTGCAGCACTTAATGGTTCCTCCTGCCAGCTCGTGTCACTACAAAGTCCTGTAATGGGATGGGACTCCCAACCTCCTCCTTCCTCTCCTCCCCATCTTTGCTTGCATGACATACTCAGCTTCTCTTGGCTCCTCCAAGGCTTCAGTGGGGCTGCCCCTGCACTGCAAGCTTTAAGTGCTAGCTTTCACCCAGGGGTAAAAAAAATAACAAAGTTATATTCATCCAATCCTCAGAGTTTGCTGGCTGTGACAGAGCTCCCTCCTGCCTGCCTGCCTCCTCTAAGAGTTAGACAGCTCCAAGGATTGGCTGAGTATAACTTTTCTTTTTGATCCAAGGCAAAAAACAAACAGACACTTAACCCTTCCGGTGTGGAGGTAGCCAAACTGCAAGGGTTAGTCAAAATGTAAAAATGATTTGCTTGCATGCAGTAAAGGGTTATAAACCCACAATAAATATACCACACCTGCTACAACCGCATCAAAATGGGGTCATCATTTTCCAACCTTGCCATTTTTTTATCTCTAACTCAAGAAACTGGAATGAAAGTATTTAGAAATGCCCAAAACACTCAAGTTTTCACAAATATGAATAGAATACAGAAATAATCATCCTATGGAGCCGACACTCATATGGTATTATCCCTCAGTCATGTGGACTTCCAGCTTTTATCCAGGCCTCTTATTTAAGAGTTTAAACCACCAAACACGTCCCTGATCATCATAGTATGCATCACCCAGCACCATAACCAGTCTGATTGTTCTGGTAAGACCCTAAATTGTTTTTAAAAAAAATGGACTTGTACTGATAGATAGAATTGGATTACAGAAATGCAAATGGCCCTTTTATTGTGTTACCCATTTCATTTTCATAATAACCCATATAGAGCAGGAGCCAATAACAGTATAAGACAAATGTAAGCATCATGGTTTAACTATTCAGATGCATCTTTTATGAGCATTGTATAGGAATGGCCTATAATGGGATTATTAGAGAAACTACATCTAAAATAAAACCTTATAGCGGACTTTTACACTCAAAAATCAAATTCTACCAATGCATCACTCTTAGGGTTGCCACCTTTTTTTCAAGCGAAACCCGAACACTCAAGCGACGTGCAGTCATTTTTTTGGGGAGAATGAGTCTGGGCTTATTCATATGTAAATTGAACTGCCCATTCATATGTAAATATCACAGTTGAGACTATTTTCAGTGGGGGGGCCAGTAGCCCCTAACTTAATTCTGGTTGGCCCTGCCTGTCTGACATCTTGTGTCCAGGTTTCTGCTGCCATGAAACCTGGACACAGCATTCAAAATCCGGACTGTCCGGGTGAATCCTGGACAGGTGGCAACCCTAATCCCTCTATGTATGATGAATAATAATAACAGACATGTCAGGTGTAAAATGGTGCGATTATGAAATACTTACACTTGCAGAGCATTTACTTCCTGCTTTGAAAGGGCAAATTTACTTCAGTTTGCTAAAGCAATGCACACTGGGAATGTCTGGTCAACAGCAGAGCATAGTTGGGAAATCTCTTCTGTAATCTCATGAGATCTCAGGGGGAAGGCATTTTCCTCCTCTGAGATGATGTGCATGGTCACATGTGCCAGAAATCCAGGAAGTAAAAGAAGAGCTAGTAATCTGAGAAATAAGGTATGCAAAGAATAGAAACCCAGCAATTATCTAAAAGTATGCGTTTGTAGATTGCCATTACTAAACCTTTCTAAAAAAGGTGTGTTGTTATTTTGGAGCTATGGGTAAAGGTCCGCTTTAATGGGCAGCACCATCCAAAACTGATATTTCAAACCTGGGTGGGCTCGGTGAGTTATACCTCTCATTCCAGAGGCTTCTCAGAGATTACTGGCAAGACACTCCTATACACATCTCTCCCTCTCTCTTGTAAGAGAGAAAAAAAAAAATTACCTGTGGAATCCCACAAATGAACCTTCCGGTACCCACACAAAACAGAATTACTTTTGGGACAAGCTGACCTTTAAATTCTCAGTTATTCTGTAAAGTCTCTAACATTGGGAATTGTTTTATATCCACTCCCATTTTTAACAAACCTGGGATTAAATAAAGATTCTTTCCTTCCTTTAAAAAAAAAAAAATCTCAGCAGTAATTGTTGCACATGAAAAGTAAAATCTATTTTGGTGGTCACACCCTTCCTTGGCATTTGTCCTTCACTTACATGTGAAGACTGATGGCTCCCTTTCCTCAGATGCGGCGGTCTTTATTTAGAGCCAGACACAAAAAAAAAATCATCATCTTGTAGGAAAGGAAAACTTATGATGAGTCATGAAAGCTACCATTGTTATCCTCTCCTTCTAAAAAAAGAAGCTACCTGGCTGATCCAGAAGCTTCAGCACTAGGAGTCAGGGATCCGGGACAAGTATGCGTTTCAAGAGAGAAGCCAGCAATGGACACCCCTCTACTGCTTTCATGACAGGTCCGCTTTAACCAATTGAAGACCGGGGTGTTAAGCCCCAGTCCTGTACAGGCCATTTTTCCAGTATTTACCACTGCAGTACTTTGACTGACATTTATTCAGTCATGCAATGCTGTACCGAAATTAATTTTATACAATTTTTTGGGGACACAGAGCTTTCTTTTGGTGGTATTTAATAATTTAATTTTTATTATAACATGAAGAAAAAAAAAACAAACAAACCTGTTTTCCCTAAGTTAGGTTATAAAACATTACGCACATTTTTGGTAAAACATAAAAGACGGGGTCACGTTGTGTGAATAGTCAAACGTGTCAAGCCTTAAAATTGTTACAATTACCCAAAATTGGCCATAGGGGACACCTAAAAAGCTTTTATCGCTCATCAGTTTAGTGTTATAGGTAATTAAGCTCCCTAGAATTATTGTTCACACTCCAACGTTCCTGGTGATATGCAATGTGTGACAATAGTTTTCGCACGTAGGTGTACCTGACATGCAATTTACGTTTATACGTGCATGCAGGGGTGGGGGACTTGTTTTTATTTTTACACTTAAATTTTATTGCTATCACTTAGTTGCGACAGGTCCCCTTTATGAAGACATCAGGGGTCTCTAAGACCCCCAATGTCACATAGGGACCCCCAAAGAAGCCGATTGAGAGATCTGATTTACCAGCTTCTTCTCTGGCTATAGCAGCCAGAGAAATAACAGCTAAAGGCGGAAGTGATGTAATACACATCACTTCCGCCTTCAGGCATTTGGGAAAAGATCAGCAAGTGGGAGAATGTTTACACGGACGTTTACAGTGTCAGCTGCCACCGTGCTAGTCCCGGGCCTGCAGGTGGGACAGGGGAGCCCGTGATAACAGGCAGTGGCGGTGGAGGAGCGCGGCAGCAGAGAGGAGGGGATTAACATGGCAGCGGAGAGGGGCATGCATTCAAGCGATCGGACGGCTGCAGAGCCACGCAAATGCTTATCTGGAAGAGCCGGTAACGGCTGTATACATCTACTGCAGGATTCTTATGGCACAAGGGGGAGCAAGCAAGTTATACTCATCCAATCCTTGAGTGGGCAGCCCCCCTCCCGTGTCCCTTGGCATCCACATGACCTATACACTGTATTGGACGTGATGACTCAAGGATTCCTAGACGGCTGCAGTGGAGGGGGGGGGGGGGATCTAGGGACCAGACTAAGATCAAGCCGGCTCAGAGGTTTAGGGGAGTATAACAATTTGTTTTTTACCCTAGGCACAAATTAGCAGTTAACCCTTACAGTGTGGAGGTAACCCCACTGCAAGAGCCAACCAAATTTCGGGGTGGAGTTCTTCTTTAAATTTCCAGAGTTCTTTAACCATTTGTCTCGCGTTCATATAAAGTTCAGTAAAATAAAACCTGTTGCTATTGGTTACTGCGCTGCATTCACCCATACTGAGTCCCCGGTGTGCCCGACGCAGCTTCATCAACACTAATCCAGCATCTTCTGTTCAGGACTGGAAAAGCCGACATTGAAAGGAGCAGGAATTTGCCGAGGCCATCACAATGCTGCATTAGAAGAGGGTGAATGGAGAACATTGTTACAGGACGGTAACATCCATCTCTGTGTGACTTGTTTGAACAAGGGACGTTTCTAAAACAAAAATCTTTCCAACACCATGACAAATAACTAAAACTGCGGCAGAGAGCGATTTTCCATACGAGCCAGTGTTTTCATTAGTTACGAAGCACAACACAACAACCCGCACTACGTCTGAAAAATGCACCAAGCTGTATTTAGAAGAAGAGAAGCAAAATAATAAAATAGTAGTGTTGCCCATAGCAACCAACCAGTTAAAAGGTTTCCTTTTCTCACCTGCAATTCAGAAAAG